TTAGTTTGTATTGCAACAGGTATAAATTACTAACATTTAGCCAGCTGCTAGTCAGCCATTAGTAGTTCCCTAACCCTAAATGCGATCTGGTCACGCAGCGTTACTTGGATTAGTAACTGTAATACCGTAAAACTTTAATTAAGAGCTGAGTCCCAAATAACCACCTATCCCGTTTCCTGTCCTGCTGTGGGAACACATTTGGACTAATAAACACAGGTTGGTCTGGTTTTTATAGAAGTTCTCTGGATGCACAGCTGCTTAGATCGAACATAATATCAGTGTGTCAGTGTGGACACGCTGCACATCGTTAGATCAGTTAGATTCTCCACAATTCAGTCGTTCACTTCATTTAACAGAAACAACGAGCCCCAAATTTACCGCTGTAACCTGCCTGGTACAAGAGAGGAAAGGAAAAAAAAGTGCAGACTCTCGTTACCTTTGAAGCGCTTGTTAAGTCTGAATGATCAAAAGAATCAAAACAGCTTTTCATAAAAATGAATCCTGTCATGTGAAGTCGATCGCTCTCTGTCTGCTAACTTCTCTCATCCTGCACCGTGTTGTTGTCGTGGTGTTACTTGAAAATAAAAGCGAATAAGCCGTCTGTCGGATCTAGATCAAATGAATGACGTGTATTTGATATTATTTGATAATTCTATTATTCTGTTTGAAGAAACTGTTTCATAGTAGTTTCAGTTTTGTGCAAAAGGAATTAAAGGCAGGTATATGGCAGGGTCAATTTTTGCAAATAAAAGCCCGGGCTAGTTTTACGGTATGTAATACTGTAGTTACGCCCAACACTGCTGGTACAGGAGTCGTTGTATGTTGTTTATTGAACAGGTGCAGAACTAGAAATGTTAGGAAGGAGACATTGTGGTTTTAACAGCATTTAGCATTGGAGCTATTAGTTGACGGGTGCAGTGACTGAACACAGCTTCTCCTGAACGCAGAGCGGAGGTGTTGATTAGATCTGTCTGAACTCTGCTGTCGAATCAGACTACAGGATGGACTGCTCACGAGCTGGTTAGAAAACAAGACATAACATGTAAACCAGACACACTGGGAATTAGTTTTCTCTTTTAGAGAAACTAAGCTAGCAGTTTGCCCCTGCTTCCAGTCTCTGTGCTAAGCTAGGCTAAAAGTGTCAGTCCCTGTTCTGTCTGACTGAAGCAGATGGAAAACAGTTTATTCGGTCTTTACCCCTCAGTATCAAAATCTTTCAGCTTGTGTTTTGATAATGAATTATATAAAGTAATAAAATAGGCCTGACTCGAACAACTTGTGACGTAAACTCGGTGCTAGCTGCAGGTCGCAGCCTTGTCGTTCTTACGGAAACATTTCACAGAGAAACGAGCCGGGCTGAGGAGGGAGTGGATGTAGAGGCTGCCGGTGAGCGACGGACAGACAAAGACATGAAGCTCAGGACTTTATGAATGATTAACGCAGCAGCAGAGTCGTGCTGATTGAGTTACACGGAGCGTTTTACACCGGTGACCCTCACAATATCTGATGACTGCAGCTCAGTCGAGCCCGACGCTCCGGGAAGATTACAGCAGTGGAAAAAAGTGACGTCCTACAATAAAGGCAGCCATCTCACATGACGTCCGAAACTCTGACGGCGAGGGGGCAAGGTCTGTTTTCCACCTGTCCGTCTGTCTGTTAGCAAGACCTCTAAAGAAACAAACACGTGGTAGAAACCTGCTCGTCTCTGCCGCGTTGTCAGAACATTATGAACGGCAGAAAACTTCTACTGTAGTTTGCATTCGCTGGCAAAAGTACTTGGGTACAAATTTGAGGAACTTGAAGGTTGAGAATAGCCGGAGTTACAGAAGTCCAAACGGCATAAGGTAAAGGATGTAGGGATGGAGGGATAACTTACTCCCCGATCAAATGTAGGATATATTATTTAAGTGGAGACAGAAATACTGTACAGCCTTCTCAGCGTCAGCATCAGACTGAGGTCAGAATCAAACAGCGCTTCATTTATGGACAGAGGTGATTAAAGATGGTGTGATGTTCAGAGGCGGGTAGAGAAGCAGAACTGTACTCAAGTAAAAGTATGGTGCATTAAAACTACTCTGACAAGTACAATTTACTAAAAATACTCACTTGAGTTAGTTGAATAATTAGGTGAGATGATGAGGTAAAAAGGTCAGCCAAGCAGGTCATGGAGCAACAGTTTTCTGACCGTCGCATTGTGGATAGTAACAGGAAATTTTGAAGTTGTTACCTGTGTCTAAGTAAGTTTGATAGAACACATATTTAGGACTCTGCCTGGAGACGTTTATTTTGTAATTGTTGTCTTTTTTTGTTAAATAAAACATCAGATATTTTTCCATCTTTCATCTGTCTCCTTGCCTCACTGGATTATACAGTTTTGGCCTTTTTTGGAAAGTCTTTATATCTTGCGATACTGGCAAAAGAAGTTTTTAAAGTTGCCACTACAGTGATGTTATAAAATAATGTCCCTAAGAGAAAGAAAGCATGTGAACAGAAAACAATAGAGGACCTAAAATGGCGCCCTGTGGAACGCCACGGTGGGCTGGGCTGTACAGGATGAAGCCTTTCAGTGATGGAGGTCTTTGAACCGGAGTCGGACAGTGTCAGATATGCAGACCCACTTCTCATTAAACAAGATGTGGTTTCCATAGTGCTTCCTTGCTAAGACTCATGGGATATGTTGTCAGGGGAGTGTTGCTGCTGGTTCTCTGCTGACCTGAAGGTTGACTGAAATCCCAGACTGCCTGATAAGATCTGAGCAGGGAAAGTGCAGCTTTGCTGTCCAGAGAGAGGCGGGGTAGTACACCTGGACAGGTAGACAGAAAACCATTCAAGGCCACATTCACACTGTAGTGGCTACTCCGTTTCAAAATGACAGCCGCTGCTCCAGCAGTAGAACTGTAGTTTTCGATCCAGCGTTCTGAGCTAAAATGACAACAGAACAGGCGACTAAAGGACAATATAAAGCTCCAGGTGTGAGTTGGTGAGAGAACGGGCAGCAGGTGTGTGAGGAACAGGGTCATGTGACTGTCAGGACCTCTGGTGGACAGGTGTGGAATGACGTGTCTGCAGGGTCTTTTGTTCTTGTTGTTTTTACTTCAGTATCTGTACATTGTCTTTCATTTGGTGGGTAATCACTGCGTATTTCTTGTGTAGTTGACTGTCTGCTTGTTCGCCCAAAAAAAGAATAATAAATAAATAAAGACCAATAAATAAAGGCGATGTTAAGGGCTGAATGGTGGATGGCTTCGTTTATATAGTGCTTTTATCTAAAGCAATCAGCGGAGGGAGGACAGAGGTCAAATGCTGCTTACACCACATCTGATATTTAGTTATTTTTCTCTAGTAAAGAGCACAAAATAGGAAAAGATTTGGAAGTATAGAGCTTATTGAGAGTTATAAACAGCACCCTCAGCTCTGAACCACCAGGCTTCACTGCGTCTGTCAGACCTGGAGCTTCAGATATTACACAACACATCCTACACGGCTTCATTTATAACTCCGAATCCTCTGCGTGCCTCAGATGTTTCTCCTCAGTGACTCTCAGAAACACCATCCAGCTGATTTAACGCTCCACAAAAATCATCTGCAGCTCAACAGCTCAGACATTAAATCCTCTCTGCCTCCTCACATGTGCAGTGAAAACAAGCAAGGAAATTTGTGTTTTGTGTGGTAGAGTATTTTTTTTGTTGTAACAGAGCTTCTTGGCAGTAAATCTTACACCATAGGAAAACCTGATTCTGTCTCTTTGGGGCCACATTACTAAGGAACATGTGGGATGAGCAGCAGAGCTCAGTATGTCGGCTGCACCCATGACAAACTTGCCAAAATCTTCTCTGAAAAGCCAGAAATCTTTTCTTTGCTTTTGACTCTTGTTTGGTGGATTCAATGATTTTAAGAAAGAAGAAACGAGACATATTGGCCATTAAACAATTTATCCATTTAACAAACAGGAACGTCAGTAGAAGAACCAAACAACAGCCTCAGCAGCATGGAACCTCCTCCTCATGCTGGACAGCGAGGGGTTCAGGACTGCTGGCAGGCCTTTCCATCCTCTCCACTCCCAAATTCTGGAGGTAGTCCCTGATAAACCCCCGGGGTTACCAGAAGCTAAAAGCAAGAGTCAATAGAAACGGCAAAGAAAAGAAAGAAAAATTTTTGGCTTCTCAGAGAAGATTTGGCAAGTTTTTCATGGGTGCAGCCGACATACTCAGCTCTGCTGGCCATCCCACATGTTCCTTACAAATGTGGCCCCATTTAAAAGAGACAGAATCAGGCTTTCCAGATTTACTGCCAGGAAGCTCTGTTACAACAAAGACTACCACAACACCAAACACTAATTTATATACTGTGTTGTTACTGCGGCACCACAAACACAATAATGTCTGAAATTGAAATTGAAGTGTTCTCTCAGCTGAGGGAGCCTGCTGATACTGCATTTAAAAACAATTATCCTTTTTCACATTTACAGAGATAAGATATACTTTATTGTCCACAAGGGAAATTTGTTTTGGACTCTGTCTGTTCTGCAGCTTTACAAAGACAACAGAAAGTACAGAAAATAAACCTCCCTCAACACAAACTCTCATGCAACACGACACATGCTCTCGTACATCAGACAGGTACCTACTGCATATAGTACAGAACAACCCTGTCGGCTGCAATTCCCACAATAAGAGTAGCGCAGCCCTTGCACAATGACATATTGCACAACCCCAATAGCCTACATTTAGAGAGAGAGAGCCATGCCAATTTATAAAATATCACTGGATCTCATGCTGAGATTATCTGATGGGGTAGCTGACTGAACCCAATATGATGATAACTGCTGCTTTAAGTCGTGTGATACGGACTTTTCAAGCTGAGCCTTTAAACCAACTTGGAGGAAAAGTCCTTAAAGTGCTGAGAATCATGGAAAATTCACATTTCCCGGCTGATGGAGACCATGCAGGTGAAAGGCCTGGAACAGTTTTGACAGTTTCTTCTCTCTGTTTGTGTCTCAGATGAGGATAGTGTGTAAGGACGTGACGGCGGAGACGCTGTACGACGTCCTCCATGACACCAACTACCGCAGGAAGTGGGACACCAACATGATCGACACGTACGACATCGGCAGGCTGACCGCCAACGCCGACATCGGATATTACTCCTGTCAGTTCGTCAGTGGTTTGAGTGTGTGATGTGAACAGCTGGCCCAGTTTGCATTAAAGCACTTCTCAGTCAGTTTTTCAGTCAGTTGGATCCGTCGTTGCAGTCTTTAGCGTCTGTAACGTTCTGATGTGTTTCCGTCCTCGCTTGGTTTTAATGTGTGTGTGTTTGGTTTGAAGGGAAATGCCCGAGCCCTCTGAAGAACAGAGACTTTGTGACGATGAGATCTTGGCTTCCTCTCGGCAACGACTACCTGATCATCAACTACTCCGTCAAACACCCGGTGAGCATCACAGTTATATTTACATCCGTCTGCGAGTCTCTTCTGTCCCGCTGGGACGTAAAGGAGATGGTTAACCTGTCTCATTTACCCAGACAGAGTTTGTAACCTTCTGAGGTAACAAACTTTCTCTGGTCCGTCTCGAAGGGTGGTCTTCCCCTCCTGGTTTGGTGGCTGTTGAACCAGTACCTACAAACATGTCGACTAGCCGGGGTCAAACCTGGCGTCAGGACCAAGTGAGCTGCCTCATGATTATTTGATTTCTCTGTCACTGGAGAAGAAACTGTAACGCAGCGTCGCGTGAAAGTTAAAAAACTGCGTCAACAGTACATGAAAGTACTGCAGCATGTGCAGTATCTCACAAAGTGAGTCCACCCCTCACATCTAAATATGTGACTTTCATGTGACGACACTGAAGAAATGACTGTTTGCTACAATGTAAAGTACTGAGTGTACAGCAAACCGAGACCAAGTCAAGACCAAGACCAGAGTTTATCGAGACCGAGACAAGACCAAGACTTTTAGGGGCCGAAAGCAGTCGAGTGCGAGACCAGTTCCCTGCATTGCATGTCACGCAATAAAATATGGAACAAGATCATAGGTGCCTCTCAAAGTGATCTGAAAGATCCACATTCCCATTAAAACACCCACATACAAACACTAAGAGCTGAAGTCAACGTCAGCATCGCAGGGAGGGGGGGCAGTCGTTAATTAGGGTTATTGGTTGCATTTGAAGCGATATGTTTTACATCCAATCAAAGTCAGGATGTTAACAAATCAGACAATGCAAAAGCAATTTATTGATTTTCCCAAAGTTATGGTCTTGACTGGTCTTGAAATAAAATCCCGAGTCCTCAATGTCCGAGACAAGACCAAGTACAAAGGCGGTCGAGACCGAGACGAGACCGAGACCATCAAAAAGTGGTCTTAAGACCAAGACCCGTCTCGAGTACTGCAACCCTACAGCTTGTATAACAGTGTAAATCTGCTGTCCCCTCAAAATAACACATCACACAGCCGTTAATGTCTAAACCGCTGGTAACAACAGTGAGGACACCCCTAAGTGAAAATGTCCAAGCTGGGCCCCATCAGCCATTTTCCCTCCCCGGGGTCATGTGACTCGTTAGATCTCAGGTGTGAATGGGGAGCAGGTGTGTTAAATTCAGGAGCCGGGCCTTTTGGTGTGAAACCATCCTGTTACTTCCCAAAGGGGGTGCTGTGGGACCCTGGGCCCTTAAGGCTGATGCTAGACTTTTAATCAGAACGCAATAAAAATGAGCAAGAAACACAGTAAACACCAAAGTAAAGACGCACGGTCAAACGTGTAGTCAGAGGAACTTCCTGGCATTATGTTTTACAAGGTTACAGCCACACAGCGATATGTCGGCCCACAGTACAGTCTGTGAGACCAGAACCAGAACCGATAGAAGATCTGAAAAGTTCTGTCTGTCCTGCTGCAGAAAAGCTGTCTGAAGAGACGAAACACGACTCTGACAGGATGCAGAGGTTTAAAACGTTGACCTGGGGACGACTGACCTAAAGCGTCAACAATATCAGACCTAAAATTGGGTCCAGAGACCCAGAAAAAAGGTCGGAAACCTCTGATTTAAAGACACGTCTGTCCGTCTGCACTGTAAACTGCAAATGAATCAGTGTTCTCTTCTCTGCGTGTCTCCTCAGCAACATCCCCCTAAGAAGGACTACGTCCGAGCCGTGTCCCTACTGACCGGATACCTGATCCAGTCCAACGGAGCCAACTGCTCCACCCTGTACTACCTGACCCAGGTGGACCCCAAAGGTGAGACTGCACGCAGGAGACACGCCGTCAAGACTAAACATCAGGTCCTGCAGCGACAGAATGAAGAGAAAAGTCGTGTGTGGGGGGGGGGGGGTCTGCAGTACTTACAGGGTCCAACAGCTTTGTGAGGACCAAAAAGCTCGACCCAAGAAGTACTACCCCTTTAAACTTGGGGTGTATGGGTAATACTACTTTTAGTATCAAGTCCTCCAACAAAGGTTTAGATTTGTTTCAACAACTCAGAGAAACACGATTTCTTCAGATACCTCTAACTGAGACAACAATTGTAAAAGTACTTGAGGTGAAGGACCGGGTCTGATAAATACAGCTAACATGAAATGAACTGAAGGCCGACAGACGGGACTCCCGAGTGAGCGAAGGAGCTTAAACCTCTTTAAAAGTAGCTTGGCTTCGGCTGAGCTGAAGCCTTTGAAGGACCCTGGGACCGCTTTTAAAATTTCCAGTCTTAGACAGTGTCAAACATTTCGTCTCACCTGATGACCGTGTTTCTGTCAAAAGTAATAAAGTAAAGTTTAAAAACTGCTCCGACACAAAAGTCCATGTTTGTGGAAATTGTGATTTGATGTTTCGGATTGTTCTGACTGAACCAAACGTGAAGCTTTAACCTTTAAAGTGGCCTTTAAAGAAGTGAGGACGGGACGATAATGTGTCCACAAAACATTCTCCCACTTTTCCTGAAGCTTCCATCCTTCCTGTCCTCTCTGTCTGCAGGTTCGTTACCTAAGTGGGTGGTGAACAGAGTCTCCCAGTTTGTGGCGCCAAAGGTAAAATCATTCTTCTGTAAATCTGACACACCTGAAGCATCCGGCCGTCCCTTCATCACGTTAAACGCCGTCTCTCTGCTTCCTGTCAGGCGATGAGGAAGATCTACAAGGCGTCCCTGAAGTATCCGGAGTGGAAGAGGAAGCACAACCCGAACCTGAAGCCGTGGATGTTCCCGGAGCAGAACACGCTGCCCTGCGTCAGCGTGTCGGAGCTGACGCTGCAGCGAGCCGACTCTCTGGAGAACATCGACGAGAGCGGCCTGAGCGAGGAGACGCGCCACAGCGACGAAGAGACTTAGACCTCCCGACAGACTGACACGGCGACGCTCCTCCTGTCTGATTTCCTGTTTGTTGGTCACGCTGATGAGAGCCGGACTGTTTCTATCTGATCACGTTTGACCTTCTCCGATGACCTGTCAGCTTTATTTCCCATCAGCACGTCTGTCTGTAACGTTCAGTGTTAAACGGGTTTTTCCAGCTTCAGTTGGTTCGGCTGATGATGAAAGCCTCTGCACATCCTCGCAGGTGTTCTCAGGCGATCTGCTCACTAAACAGCATGTTCTAACAAGGTTATTTTTGACTTTTTTCTAAATTGTATTCTCTTTTGCATCAATAAAAAGAACATACAGTGGAATATGTCTGCAGCTGACGATTATTTCCTGATTCGTTGATCAATAATTAATCTGTGCAATGTTAGAAAACCACAGGGATTCCTTCTGTGACACTTTAAAACCTAAAGATTTTCTCTCGTGGTGCAGCGGTGCTACGACGAGACATCGCAGCCCAGTAACATGTGAACACTAGTGTTGTAGTCAAGACCAAGACCAGAGTTTATCGAGACCGAGACTAGACCAAGACTTTTAGGGGCTGAGAGCAGTCGAGGGCGAGACCAGTTCCCTGTATTGCATCGCAAGACCGGTCTTGAGTACTACAACACTAGTAAATACATCATTTAATGAAATCACTGGGTGAAAATAACCGATCGCTGCGGAGGTGTGACCTTTAATGAATCCACACGTACTTACTGTTTATCGGTTGTCGTGGCTTTGAACTGACGAGGAGGATCCGGTGTTCTGACGATTTGTGCTGCCTTGTCGACAAATGTGAATCGATAGCAGAGGGTGGACTCGTGCTCAAACCTGATCCCCTAAACACAACGAGCCGGCTTATTTTACCTTTTGGTTAAGGATCATTTACATGCTTACAGGTCGAGAGGTGCAATGAAAAATAGATTTTTTTTGGCATCGCTCAGACTCGGTCTCGACGGCGTGCACGACAGCAAGGTGGGAACACAATAAAATGTGGAACGAGATCACAGGTACGTCTCAAACCCACATACAAACACGAAGAGCTGAAATCAACGTAAGCATCGCGGGGAGGGGGGGTCAGTCGTTAAAAGGTTATTGGTTGCATTTGATGCAACACGTTCCAGTCAAAGTTGGGATGTTTACAAATAAATCAGACAACGCAAAATAAATTTATTGATATTCCCAAAGTTATGATCTAGAGTACAAATGCGGTCGAGTCCAAGATGAGACCAAGACCATCAAAAAGTCCGGTCTCGAGTGCTACAACACTGTTGCCCAGATCTGATTTCTTTGACTGACGGCTCACATTACAGTTTAAATATCAGCGCGTGAACTGTTCACGGCCTGAAAGTGACAGGAGTGAACACGGCTCCGGTTAGCTCCTACCTGCTAACCCTCCTGGTTCCCTCCTGATTCATGACAAATGTTCCCAACTTTCTGTCCTTCTCTTTACGTTCATGACTGTTTGCACTTCTGCCCCACTCCTCTCTCTCTCTGCTGCTTCTGCTCAGACAGGCGACTCAGCAGAGAGCTGGAGACCAGCTGGATCTCAGGTGGGAGGAAGTGAAGCTGTGAGCAGCTGATGGCGAGGACGAGGAGAAAGAGAGACACGCGTTGAATTCTGGCTTTTGCGGAGCTGTTTCGTTCCCCGCGGCTCCGTCTAGACCAGAACTGTGACGCCGGTCGCTTTAGACAAACAATCGGACCTGGATCTGATTCGGACCACATGTGAAAGTGGCTCCACTCTGACCTGGAACAGATCAGGGTCCATGTGACCTGTTAGAAACACAGCAGATCTGAGTCACTCTGGCTGCAGCCTGAACGCAGCCTTAGAGTCCTCAGAGTCTGATCGGGTGACATAAGAACACCTGTGGGGGCGGAGCTCAGGTGTAGCCGTGTGTTCTTAGGCCCAATCCCACCGTCCCCCCTCACAGACTCACAGACTTTGAGGCGCGTTCCCGGGAAGTCCGTGAGGGCTCAGGGTCGTCCTACTGTCAAATCCTCAAGTGTGCGAGGCTGTGGCGGTTTAGGGGGGGGGACTTGGACCCCCCACGGAACAAAAAGTCTACAGCAGCTTCATTGAATTGGCGGCCGCGGGCCACATCCGCCCAAAGTGACCTCCATGTGGCCCAGCACATAATCTAATAGATATAACAACAGAAGTAAACTACATGTTTAGTGAATGGAAGTCGCTAAAGAGTGAACTCCATCGTTTCCTCATCATCATGGTTGAGTTTCACATGCGCTGTACTGATCACCGCCAATCAAGGCTTTGGTTTTACACAAACAGAGCGCTAGTTCAGCTTATTGTGACAAACAAGCTAAAGTGGAAGCTCTCTGTCTTTAGTAACTGTTCAGCTTAGTTTGCCACTTACATTAAAATCTGACACATTATACTCAGCTGGTGGAAACAGACAGACCCTCCTCTCTACCAGCAGCAGCAGCAGGAGGACAGGAGGGACTGAGCTGTTCATTCTTTCTGAACTTCACTCACTATGTTGATTTATTTTACTGACATGTTAGATTTGTTTCCTGTGAGCTATTAGTGACTGTTGTAAATCCTGTTGCTGCTCTAGAAACATTTAGTTAATAAAAAATATTTTTTTTAATAATATATGCAATTATTTAGTAATAAATAGGATTGATAAGAGCATCGATAAAGAACTGAACCAATAAGGATTACCAACACAAGTGTGTCAATAAAATCCTAATGATCCCAACTCCAGAGAAAAAGTCCGGCCATCTCCGTGTCCTGGTTTTAAAATCCGGCCCAATTGAATCTGTAATTGAACAGCGCTGGTCTGCAGTGATCATAGTAATATATCTTCCTTTAGACGAAATGTACGTTAAACTGAATGCAGCACTGTACACAATATTTTGTCCTTGTAATCCATGTTTCCATGGCATGGACAGGTGGAAATTCCCCCTCTGGAAGTCCCCCTCCTTAAAGGGTAAATTATTATCACAACAATTTAATAATGCAAAGCATTTAAACTTTTCATACACACAAAGCGTTAACAGCAGCCTACTGGTCCTACCAGGCTGGACATGCAGTCTGCCTAAATATGTATCCCCCTTTATAAAGCACAGGTGATGGCAAGTATTTCATTTTGTGTGTACTTCACATCAGGACTAACAACAGTGGTGAATCTGGAGAAGTTTGTTTCCAAGCAAAAGTTATAGTGGGATATAAAATACAATCTGGGATTCAGTATACTGTAATTTAATAAAGCTATAACTAAATTACTGAGAAGAAGTTACTAAAACATGACATCATAGGCTACACTAAACAAGACATTTTGAAAGCTTGAACATCGCCTCTGTCTCTTTTGTCCCGGATTGAATGGGCCCCTCTGACAAAACAACTGGCCCCAGCCTGGCCCCCTCTTTATTCTTTAGACTTTATTCAACAGTTTATTTTAGTTTTTGCTTAATGAGGCTGTTTGACCAACAATAGTGCATTAATGATTATTAACAAATATATATTGACATTTCTCTCTCCTCCACTCTGCAGGCCGAGAGCCTGCAGGACTTTATATCAGGCACAGAAAATAAAAAGTTTGCAACCTGTTTCAGCATTTTGAGCCCCTGCAGTCTCTCAAACTCAGTCACTTTCCAAGTGACGTCAGTAAAGTCTGTGAGGGTTCAGGGCTCAGGGGGGACATTGGGATTGGGCCTTAGTTTCGTATTTTCAGCTGTCACCAAAATGCAGAAGGTTCAAACGAGTTACAGGTCTGTGACCTGACTGAAATGTGTGGCGAGTTTCAGTGCGTCTCTGATAAGGATCTTCCTTTAGTCGGTACTCTTTGTTTGCCTCCTCCTTTCGTGCACATCATAACCTGCGTCCTCGTCAGTGAAGCTGAGTTCATCCAAATCACAAAGTGCCTTTTTTTGCCCTTTAACAAAAACAGAAAACTTTGGCCAGCTCCTCTCTAAACCCTAAAACTGCATTTCAAACGTCTTCATTTTCCAGACCTAGAGGCTCATGTTCGAGTCGAGGGCCTTTGACCTCTGTGAGTAACGTTCACACCTGTTCCTCTGACAGTTTGTCACATGAATATATGTTAATTTTTTATTCTTTGCGGATAAATGTCAGTAAAAACTGATCCCAGAGCGTCCTGAGACCCCTGAACTCTCTGGAGTAAAACAAAGTGTGAAAGGAAGATACGTCGGGTTGTTTGTTTGGAGTTAAAGATCTTCTCATGTCAGAAGCTCAGCAGCTTGTTTGACCTCATGGAGAATATTTATTTAATGACCGCTGATAGTTTAACACAGTGCAAAGAAAGTCACGTGACATCAGCTGTCCTGTGAGTCTGCAGCGCCCTCTGGTGGACAGATGGCTTCATCACAGCCTGATGAGAGAAGACGCCTCACTTCTTCTGCTTTAAATTAAGATTTTATTAAATTTAGTTTTATTTATAAAGCACCAAATTGATTAACAGCAGTCCTCTCATTGCACAGACTGTACTCTGTGTGATATTATTCTCTAGGGCTGCAACTCAAGATTATTTTCATTGTCTCAGCAGCGCAATGTAAGTTCCACATAGAGATGTAAAGCAGTGATAATAATACCAATATTAATAAAATAGCACTACAGTCCTTCCAGGATCTCATAACCATTTTTGTCATTTTGCGGCAGCTTTTCTACAAAATTGTGATGAAAGTTGCATTTTTTTTAATGAAATTTTGGGAATAAGTGAAAACTGATATTTTAAAACGTTGAATCATCAAACAGTCCCTCCAGGACTTGGCGACCCGGACCCTGACTCTGACCCGGACCCTGACCCTGACCCGGACCCTGACTCTGACCCGGACCCTGACCCTGACCAAGCTTGCTTAAACCAGCTGATTCTGTCCTGCAGCCTGTGTCTCAGCGTCTCTCTGACGTCCTCCGTGAGTTTCTGACGTTCTCTCTCAAAGCGTTTGTCAGGAGACGATTTCCTTTATGTTCGACCACGATACTGCACGTTCTGCAGAACAAGAAGATCTGGATCCTGGTTCTTCACGGTCCTTTGCTGTTCTTGTTGTGGGTAAATGTGAGATGCTGGTATCACACACACGTCTGCTGAGTTTGCTGACAGGTGACAACGTTTGGAGGGAAACGGAGATGAGAGGTGAAAATAACAAGTCACTCTACATTCACTGGGATTTGTTGAACTTGTGTAAACAGTTGCGTTTGCGACATCATGAAATCCGCATTAGTACTAATAATTCTAGCAGCTGGTGCCGAGCAGGAACACGGGAGCGGCAGGAAGCCTGCAACCACAGATCCGGACTCAGTCTAGGCCTATAGCAGCATAACTAAGGGATGGTTCAGGACTCACCTGAGCCAGCCCTAACTATAAGCTTTATCAAAGAGGAAAGTCTTAAGCCTACTCTTAAATGTGGAGATGGTGTCTGCCTCCTGAACCCAAACTGGAACCTGGTTCCACAGGAGAGGAGCTGAACGCTCTGGAGGATCTGTCTTCTGTCCCTCAGGCTTCAGGAGGACATGATCTAATCTTTGTTTTGATTTGTTATTAGCTTCATCATGTTTGCACATGTTTGCGTTGAAAAGTGATGGAGACATAAGGGCTCGGGTGAAAACAGCGTTAGCTAAAGATAATAAATCCACTTTACCTGCAGATGTTAAACGGCTGATTGTTTCGATGCTGCAAGACGTCTCAGACCTGTTTGTCATGTTCACCGGGAGAGAACTGAAGAAACTGTGTCAGCATCAGCAGATTGTTTTTGTAGCTGAAGTTACTTTTTTGAACACTTTTTTCTTCTATATATTTACATTCTATTGCATGTTTGTCTTTACCTCCACAAAGCATTTCATTTGTTATTCAACATTTCTTGGTGCAAGCCGTTTTTAACAAATTATGATTTTAAAAAGTGGCGGGGACAAAATCAGCGCCTCCAGAAAGCGTCCCCAGTGTAAATATGTCAAACACACGGTGAGAGCAAAGCATCTTTAGTGTGAAGCATCCGATATGTTGTGATTGTACAGAAGTGAAACCGTGTGCGGCCACAGGAGCCTGATGGAGGATTCTTTTATTTAGGACCTTTATCAATAAAGTGAAATGAAAAGTGAAAATGACGTCTGCAGGTCGCTCTCAGACTCTGAACTGTTGCAGTGAGAGTTCCTGCAGGCGGCTGTTTTCCTGCAGTGATAAGGAAAAACTTTATGTGCGACTGCATCCTTGTTTCGTGCCTGAAAAATGCTCCGGGCTCCGGATCCTCTCTGCTGTATTGTCTCAGGCGCTTCCTGTTTCCTGTCTGCAGGGCTCTGATTGTTGTTTGGGCAGCGAGGAGGAAACTCCACCGCTGTCCAGCTTCTCACCGCTCGCAGGGGACAGTACACAGTGTTCACGAGGACTTCCTCACTACTGTACTGAAGGACTGCTGTCCGATCAAGTCCAGGCATCGGTGCACGAGTGGAAACACGAGTCCTGAACACTGCGGCCTCCTGCGGATGACCTTTAAAAACTGATCTTCTGAAGGAGGTTCAGTAGCTTCAGTGTTAGAAGAGGGTTCTGACGTCACTTCCTGTCTAGCTTCTGTAACTCAGCGCAAGCTCTACTTTTCTTTCGTCCCTGTTCTGAGACTGTGAGCAGAACCAGAGACGATTTAAGAAAGAGACACGCTTACAGAGTCCTGAATAGAATCCTCTGGGCGAAGCCTGTAGTGCAAAGATGGCGGCCATCCCGCCCGCCAGACAGCCAGTCGTCTGCTTTTACCAGCCGAGCCGGGAAACATTTTAAAATATCAAAGTGCAGTTCTGGCTCTCTGCCCGTTCATTCAGAGAGAGACCTGATCCTGTTAGTCCCAGATACCTGAGGCCTTGCCAAGATGGCTGCCGAGGGGCGGGACTAAGCAGTAGAAGGACTTTGGCAGAACTGACTGAAGTTAATTTATTAGTTTGTATTAATTAAATAAGTATTAATTTGACCCTCGTGAGCGCAGGTATCGGTGCCAGATGTCAGCCGGATTAATTGGCGACCGATCTATCAGCAGTTTCTTTGGTGGCTTCTGGACGTTTGTTCAGGACGGACGTCAGAGATCGAATGATCCAGATGTTTCATGTCTGTGAGTTCAGGTTCTGACTCTGAGGGGGAGGAGAGAGGATTCTGACCTCCTGCAGGAGCTCGGCCTCTCCGTGTCCAGTTGGAGGAGATTTCATGCTTTCAGATCAGCTGAAGGAAGAACTGAAGATCCAGTTGAGAACACGGCGTCGGGGATTAGATGCAGATAAAATCTCATCTGTTGGGGATTTACAGGGATTACAGAGGAAAACAGCTGCTGGGGAGAATTAAGAAAAACCAGCTTGGCTTCAAACTTACTGACTTTTATTTAACCAGCACATCTCATCAGCAGGTCTGTGCACAAGATGGCTGAACCTGTCAATCATCCAATGAGGACAGAGGGCGGGGTTCCTGTAGGAAACTGCACCTACAACACAATCAGCACAGAATGTAAATAATAATTATTCTTTTAGCAAAGTGACTTACAGCTGCTGTACATGTCAGAGGTCGCACGCCTCTGGTGCAACGAGGGATTAAGTGTCTCGCTCAGGGACACATTGGGAATTGAACCCGGGTCCTTCACATCAGAGGAATGAGTCTTATCCACTGCACCATAGGTATTTCTCTGTTAATAGACGTTCGACCTACAGTAAGTTCATATTAAAAACTTCAGTAGCGCAGTATAAAAACCACAAAACAACCATAAATCCCTCTCAGGTTCTGAAGTCCACGTGACCTTTGTTGATATTTATTTTTTGCCGTGATTGAAAAAGCGGAAGCAGAATCTGTCATCCTGCATGACGCTTTTATTTTGAAACGTGTAACCGGAAGCTGCAGCGGCTGTCCTTGTGTGTAGCTTGACTTGTTGAGCGCAGAGCGGAGTTTCTCCTCCCAGAGCTGCCAGTCCGACCGAGAGCCGCTCCGGACTTTACTGTTACAGAAACCTGCAGGGACCGGAACACAGACCAGAAACCAGCCCGGATCAGACCAGAAACCAGCCCGGATCAGAACGGAGACCAGCTCGGATCAGACCAGAAACCAGCCCGGATCAGACCAGAAACCAGCCCGGATCAGAACGGAGACCAGCTCGGATCAGACCAGAAACCAGCCCGGATCAGACCAGAAACCAGCCCGGATCAGAACGGAGACCAGCTCGGATCAGAGGTGAGAGACTCTTTAAATCTTTCTGTCTCAGATTGAGTCCGTCGGTCGGGGCGTCCCGCAGGAAGCGGCTCGTCTTGCGGTCTGTCCTCCGGAGTCCCGGCAGAGTTCAGGTTCTGGGTGAGAGGTCTCCTGCTGTGGGAGCTGTGGGGACAGTGGGAGCTGTGGGGACAGTGGGGATGACGCAGAGAGGAAGTTTGGGCGCAAACTGGAGCACAGACGCATCTTTGATTAGAATTGTCCGTGTTCGAGTCTTGCAGGGACAAACTCCTCTTTACATCTCTGATGCAGCTTCAGACTCCACCCTGGAGTCCCAGGTCCTCAGGTCCTCAGGTCCTCAGGTCTCCCCCTGGACGTTGTTTAAATTCTGATGATTCTTTTGAAAAGCTGTGAATCTGTTATTCAGACAGGTTTTCTGGCTCTTTCTGTGTTTTTACTGTTTCTCACTTTATTCTGAAGAACTTTGTGATTTGTGTCTGTGGAAGGTGCTGCTGTATATAAACCAACTTTACTTACTAAACTGAATCTCCAGACTCTAGAAGCTGGTGGGTGCAGACTGGTTGTAGTGGTCTCTGCAGGATCAGGGTCTCTGCAGGGTCAGGGTCTCTGCAGGGTCAGGGTCTGTACAGGCGGACTGAATCTGAGAACTTAATATCTGCTTTTATTCTAATGAGCTGCAGCCAAAACACCAGTTCACCATCCCGACCTCGTCCTCAAACACGCAGCGTCACATTTACTTAATAGCCGATTGGTTTGATCCGTTTCTCTCAGTCGCTCTGGACCTGGTCTCAGATCAGCTTCTCGTTCAGCCTCCACGTCATCGTCTCCTCATAAAATCAGTTTCTCGTTCTTTAGAACAAATTCAAAAAGTGTTTGTTCTGCCGAGTCCGGAGGCGTCTGTAACACTGAAACAGAGATTTACTGATGAGGGGAGACGAAGGATTCTTCACTGTGAATCTGTGTGGACCTGAATCTGAATCTGTTGGGACCAGAACCAGAGTCCTCTTACTGTTCTGCAGGTGAGAAGGAAACCGAACAACATGAGAGTTTTAAATCAGCTGATCAGAGACTAAAACAGAGCAGAGAGGGTGACCAGAGGCTGAGCCACACTCTGATGATGGTGATGATGATGAAGAGTAACAGGTCTGTGGGACCAGCAGCGGGGCGTTCACATGCAACACAAACATCCTGTAAAAAGGAAACTCGGCTTCCTGTTTCAGCTGAAGCTTCAGGATAAAGCTGAGAAACAAAACCCTGCAGTTCTTCTTCTGCTTCTTCCCGCTCACTGCGACGGTCAGTAGGTGATTGATTGATTAACTGAGTCCTTCACAGATATTCCTCCTGTCACTGATGTTTCTAAGCAGTTTGTCAGGAAATCTGAGTTGCTCTGTTCCCGTCTCCTACATCAGTATTTCTGTGTTGTTCCTACAGATGGCAGAGGCTCCAGCTGTTTACCTGAGCAGGTGCTGGAAGTGTCTCAGTGTCACTCTGCAGGCTGAATGCTCAATTCTGATTTGTTACCCAGATTGTTTTGACTGACAGCTCACATTACAGTTTAAATATCAGCGTGTGAGCTGAGAAAGAGAGACACACGTTGAATTCTGGCTTTTGCGGAGCTGTTTCGTTCCCCGCGGCTCCGTCTAGACCAGAACTGTGACGACGGTCGCTTTAGACAAACAATCGGACCTGGATCTGATTCGGACCACATGTGAAAGTGGCTCCACTCTGACCTGGAACAGATCAGGGTCCATGTGACCTGTTAGAAACACAGCAGATCTGAGTCACTCTGGCTGCAGCCTGAACGCAGCCTTTGTTGTGTTTCATGTATTGATGATGTGATCAGTCTGACGTTTTTTCTACGTCTTTTACAGCTGATTACAACAGCTGTTACATCATCCCCCCCCCCCCCGACACACACACACACACACACACCTTCCTGTGTGAAACGGGAAGTTGGACCAACATGTCTTCCTCTTAAGAAACTCCATGAGACAAATGGCTATGATGTAACCGCCGCCCGCACAGTGACATCAGCTGTGGTTCTGCACATGCTCTCTGTTCTCGGTTCTCATGAGGATCCACGGCAGTGTTTAGAGAATGTCAATAGAGAACTCAGAAACAGAAAAGTTCTGAGCTCAAAACGCAGATAAAAGCTGAAACACTGCGAATAGTTTAAGCTTTTCTAAAACTTTATCTCAACGTTCCTACAACAAAAAACCTGTTAGCCAACGGACTGTGAAGGAATTCTGTCCTTACGCAGCCTGATCCTGAAGCTGAAGAAAGTATGCTGGAGGCTCCTGTTCTGTAGACCTGCATGTTACGTACAGTATAGATCCTAATGCAAAGCGTTTTATTCTTTAGAGGCCAACAACAGAACTTTAAATACACTTCTGAGAAGTTTTGAGGCGAGAAATCAACTGTGTAGATTTTGACTATCGGCAGTTTTACTAAAATTGACGGCGAATCAAAAATGTGTTCAAACGTTTTCGGAGTTAAGAAGCCGACCAAGCGTTACCGGAGGCTGCACAGCAACACAAAGGAGGTTAACCCTATCTGTTAACCGGTCGACATGCATACAATCAATAACTTTAAGGACACACCCTGTGATGGTTAGGGTTAGGGTAATATACTGTACTTCGGGGGGCTGTCAGGAATAGCTAGCTAGCTCCAGTTAGCTCCCCCAGGCCCAGTCACACAGACCACTGCAGCCAACACAGCAGACGTGTCCAGCAACAGCAGAACGATAGTGTTAATGTTAGTAATGCTGTTATTCTATCATTAAATTCTCAGTAATGTTGTAAAGCTTTAACCTAAATCAAGATACATCTGGCTCGTGATGTAACGTTACAGAATATTCTTGGTTCGTGAAACTTAAAATCACTTTGGAACAAATAAAATATACAACAGTGGTAAGAATTGGAACATTGCTTTATTATTATCATTAGGCCATTATAAATAAATATTTGCAGGACTTATAGTATTAATGTACTATATTAATAATATATAATTAGGACCTGCGATGTACTGGCGACCTGTCGAGGGTGTACCCCGCCTTTCGCCCAATGTAGGCTGGGATTGGCTCCAGCCCCCCCGCGACCCTGTACGCAGGATAAGCGGTTGACGATGGATGGATGGAATAATATATAATTATAGTATAGTAAATATTAACTATACCCTAATATAGCCAAGTTCTACCCTAATATAGCCAAGCTCTGCCCTACTATGGCCAAACTCTACGCTACTATGGCCAAGCTCTACGCTACTATGGCCAAACTCTACGCTACTATGGCCAAGCTCTACCCTAATATAGCCAAACTCTACGCTACTATGGCCAAGCTCTACCCTAATATAGCTCTATGCTACTATGGCCAAGCTCTATGCTACTATGGCCAAGCACTATGCTACTATGGCCAAGCTCTTTGCACTATGGCCAAGCTCTGCGCTACTATGACAAAGCGCTATGCTAATATGGCCAAGCGCCACCTTACTATGGCCAAGCGCTATGCTACTATGGCCAAGCTCTATGCTACTATGGCCAAGCTCTATGCTACTATGGCCAAGCGCCACCCTACTATGGCCAAGCTCTGCGCTACTATGACAAAGCGCTATGCTAATATGGCCAAGCGCCACCTTACTATGGCCAAGCTCTATGCTACTATGGCCAAGCGCTATGCTACTATGGTCAAGCGCTATGCTACTATGGCCAAGCACTATGCTACTATGGCCAAGCTCTTTGCACTATGGCCAAGCTCTGCGCTACTATGACAAAGCGCTATGCTACTATGGCCAAGCGCTATGCTACTATGGCCAAGCTCTATGCTACTATGGCCAAGCTCTATGCTACTATGGCCAAGCGCCACCCTACTATGGCCAAGCTCTGCGCTACTATGACAAAGCGCTATGCTAATATGGCCAAGCGCCACCCTACTATGGCCAAGCTCTGCGCTACTATGACAAAGCGCTATGCTACTATGGCCAAGCGCTATGCTACTATGGCCAAGCTCTATGCTACTATGGCCAAGCTCTATGCTACTATGGCCAAGCGCCACCCTACTATGGCCAAGCTCTGCGCTACTATGACAAAGCGCTATGCTAATATGGCCAAGCGCCACCTTACTATGGCCAAGCTCTATGCTACTATGGCCAAGCGCTATGCTACTATGGTCAAGCGCTATGCTACTATGGCCAAGCGCTATGCTACTATGGCCAAGCGCTATGCTACTATGGCCAAGCGCTATGCTACTATGGCCAAGCTCTTTGCAGTATGGCCAAGCTCTGCGCTAATATGGCCAAGCGCCACCTTACTATGGCCAAGCTCTATGCTACTATGGCCAAGCGCTATGCTACTATGGTCAAGCGCTATGCTACTATGGCCAAGCGCTATGCTACTATGGCCAAGCACTATGCTACTATGGCCAAGCTCTTTGCACTATGGCCAAGCTCTATGCTACTATGGTCAAGCGCTATGCTACTATGGCCAAGCGCTACGCTACTATGGCCAAGCGCTACGCTACTATGGCCAAGCGCTACGCTACTATGGCCAAGCGCTATGCTACTATGGCCAAGCTCTATGCTACTATGGCCAAGCGCCACCCTACTATGGCCAAGCTCTGCGCTACTATGACAAAGCGCTATGCTAATATGGCCAAGCGCCACCTTACTATGGCCAAGCTCTATGCTACTATGGCCAAGCGCTATGCTACTATGGCCAAGCGCTATGCTACTATGGTCAAGCGCTATGCTACTATGGCCAAGCGCTATGCTACTATGGCCAAGCGCTATGCTACTATGGCCAAGCACTATGCTACTATGGCCAAGCTCTTTGCAGTATGGCCAAGCTCTGCGCTAATATGGCCAAGCGCCACCTTACTATGGCCAAGCTCTATGCTACTATGGCCAAGCGCTATGCTACTATGGTCAAGCGCTATGCTACTATGGCCAAGCGCTATGCTACTATGGCCAAGCACTATGCTACTATGGCCAAGCTCTTTGCACTATGGCCA